AAATAAATAAATAAAATTAAAAAAAAAAAAAAAAAAGAATGTGACAGCTTAGGAATACAAAATGCCACAGCCAGGAGATGCTGCTTATAGGAAAGTAAAATCCAGTCTGACTTTTTTTCAGTAGCTATCATGCAGAAACAGTGGTTCCAGCTGACTTTAAAATTGCTGCCTAAATGCAGGAATGAGGATCTTCTGGGAAATGTAGGCTCCTAATGGAGGGTTGTGGTTTGAAAAGGTTCCCACGCAGTGATTTTTTAAATGCCTATTGACCTCACTGCAGGGGCTGCTCGTCCATCATAATCTGTTCTATAATTACTGTGCAACTCTGGCGCTGCCTCGTACAAGACTGATTTAAACGTACCCACCTAGACCAGGACCACTGACCTTTTTCTAGAATCTGTGGGGCCTATTTGAATTACACTGGCAGATCTAGAGAATCCGGTAATTTGAATGAAATTCACCCTGGGAGAATTGGCTCTGGGGCTCTTTTGCCTTCCCAAGCTTGTGAGGGAAGGCAAGCCAAAGGGAAGGCTTTATGAGGGTTGCCATAAAGCCAACATTTGGGATTTGAATGGCTTGAGAAAAACTGAACTTGGTGCCTTGGTAAATGTTTGCCTCTAAGTGACTCTTCCCACCTCCCAAATTTTGACCTTTAGTATTGTCTATTGGAGTCTGTGGCATCTGAGAAGCTATTTTAATCTGAATTCTGTGATGGAAATAATAGAAGCTGAGTCTGGATGTCTTAAGCAAACGAATGAATTTACTGGAAGGATATAGAGTAGCTCACAGAACAGGAGGAGAAGCTGAGAAGCTGCTTTATGAAAGTACAAGGTGTGAGGCATAATGCGGTTTCCTTAGGCCATTGCTACCAGGGTAAACGACTGAGAACCATTCTCAGCTTTTGTATCACTTCTCTCGACATCAAAATTCCAGGTCAAGAGCACCTGATAGACCTCGCTCCAGTCATGTATCCAGCGTCCCCTTGGCCAGGATAGGCGAAGGCAACGTGATTGACAGTCATGTCTCCTATAGGAGAAAAGTGGTTCTCCAAAGAAAAATCAAGGCTCTTTCTCCTCAGACTACTGTGCACCGTGGCTTCCCTTTGGCAGGGGAGGAACTGGTGCAGTTCTACAGAGAGAGGTGTGGAGGGGAGTTATACTATTTTCAGCTCGATATCTCCCAGTTCTACCTCATATCTTCCCTCTCCTCCAAACCACGAATTCGCACACCAGGCATTCCCACACCAGGACAGCATGTGCTCCTTCCCCTCAGGAAAGATCTGGGATGTATGAGTAGCTTAGAATTTTGGAGAAGGGAAACAATGGATAAAAGAAGCGATACTGAAGAGAGGAGGAGTGGGTATCATGCCCTCCTTTTGAGCTGCTGAGTTGGCTTCCAGTTCTGCTCAGGTCAACACACATTTTATTTGAGAGAGAAATGCGAATTATATTTCTACTGCAGTACCTTGAATTTTCCATTTGTGAATTTTTTAATGTGAAGAGAAAACAAAAATACAGTAATAGTCAGCGATGTTTCTTTAACTCTTTTTTCTAGAACTGAGCTCTAAAAATATTTTATTACATCATATAATTAATTATAACATGCATAAATCTAACATATTCTTTTATAGATGAGATAAAAAAATGAGGATGCCAGAGAAGCAGAGAAGTTATTGGGCAGACCCTCCCCACCTCCCACCCCCAGGCAACGTGCCCATGTGAGGGCTTGCCGACTCTCCTGTCCTCCATCTCTTCTGCCCCAGGGTTTCCAGAAAAGTGACCCCTCAGATGATACAAGCTAACAACCCATAATGCACCCAGGATTTCATCCCACTTCATCCTAGAGCAGAACAAAACATCAACACACACCTACAAATCATTCCGTTTGTTCATTCTGCTTTTTTCTCTTTTTCCTTTCAGTTCAAATGACTTCTTGTAGCCCTGTAAATTTCCCTCATGCCCCTATCACTAGAAGCCACCAAAGCAGAATGGGGCTGATGGCTTATGACACCTGTCATATGACAAGCACTATGGCAAATGCCTTTGCATATATTATTTCATTTACACTTGTAATATCTTGAGTGAACATATGTGTAACTCAAGATCCAGAGAGGTTAAAAAAATTCTCCAGGGTCACAAAGCTAGTAATTGGTGGGTTCACATTGGAACCTCCATCTGTCTGATTTCAAAGCACCTTCTTTCCATTGTATTATGCCAAATAAGATAGTTAGATATCAGCTTGTGAAGAACTACCAGGCATCCCAGGAACAAATGCACGTTAGGAGTTCCCGAAGACCAAAATGGTGCTAGAGGAGATGGATGAATGGAAACAGAAAGAGAATCTTGTATCTGACATATAGTCTCTTGGTTCTTTCTGCCTTCGGGAACACCCAGAGGGCGAGTGGACTGAGTACTACTGAGTTTGGTGTTTAGCAGTTTTCAGTCAGGGAGAAGGATCATTGAAGGCTGGAGTTGGGGAAAATAAAGTAATTCTGAAAGCTTATAGACCAGACAAAACCAAGCTTTCATTTAAAGGGACATTGATTCATTCTTTCAAACAATGAATATTGATTGTATGTGCCTATGGGAAGGCCAGGCATACAAAGATGAATAAGACATGGTTCTTCCTTCAAGGACTTCAATGTTATTGGGGAAGAGGGCTAACTTAACAAACGATTGGAGTACAATGGGATAATATATATTTTCCCACACTTAGATGCCCTTCATATAATCAACATATCAGCACATGCTGACTTTTGCCCATCATTACCCACTCTACTTTGACTTTCTTTTGAAAGATTATCTCTCTTCCCACTGGAAAGTCTGGTGAGACTGTTAAATCTAGGTGCCTCAACCCTCTACTCATCAACAAACAGCCACCTGACCCAAGCTGGAACAATGTGCACTCCCTGGAATTGGAATCTTGAAAAGAGGAAAGAAAAATAGAAAAAAATTCCCCAGGCATGACAGAAGATCATTCATTCTGAGGCAGGGCACTGACAACACTGTGGAGTGGCTCCTAGACCCATCCTATCCCTACCCCAACCAGTTTCTATCAATTTCTGAGTCTTCTGGTCTATCCTGAAAGCTGACAGAAATATTCCCAATAATTTCCCATGGTTAAACAACAAAAAGACATGAAAAATGCCCTTGGTGAGATATGGGGTTTTGGGGGCAGGACTCAAAGCAGGGAGACCGGTTGGGAGCCTATTGTAGTAATCCAGGTGAGAGACGGTAAGAGACTAAACTCAGTGGCTGGAGAGATGGAGAAAGGAGATGGATTCCAGAATCAGAAGAGACAGTGTTTGGTAATGACTGGATGCAGAAAGCCAGGAATATGAAGAGTAAGATGAGGAGTTTTTCAGTGAAACAATGTAAGGCAGCTGCCCTCACCTCTTTTCTATGGGTCTAGAGGGTATGTTGTGACTTGGCCTTAGTCTTGGCAGCATTTCCTTACTTGCTAAAGCTGCCTTCTTCCCCTCCCACCCTCCCAGCCCTGGGATGAACACATCACTTCCTCCTTAAAAATCATCTCCATTATCTAGGAAACTTGGCAGGGGCACCAAATTTCTCTTTTCACCTTGTCTCCTAAGCCCCAGGGGTACATGTTCAGGAGATTCTTGGAAATAGTCCTGTACGGCACATAGTACTCCAACATGAACAAGCAAACTCTAGTGATGACTGTGTGTCACAAGGATGCTTAGATTACATTTGTGATCCCATTTACATTCTCACCTACGTGACCACAGCCCACACAGCCTCACCACACCTTCTCTGTAGGGATTCCCAGGATGCTCTGTGCTATCAGCTCTGCTACAGAGGAAAGGTGTTAAGTACTTGTGGTCATGCGGAAAGAATCCAATGGCACTTGGGTGTGCAGAGCTGGACTTGGTGGACTGTGCTCTCCCCTCAAAAGGGGTGCACAGGGTGCAAACTGACAGCAACCTCTATGAGTCAGGTTTGCTCTGCCTGCCCGTCCTTTGCACCTATCTTTTGAACAAATAAATACAGTAACACCCATAACTACAACCTCTTATCTGCAGGAAAATAAGCCAGTCAGAAAGTTGTGCAAGACACTGAACAAACACCTATAAGAACTAAGGACTCCACCCTCCCTAGAAAGCCCCTAAACCCTGAATTTGGGGGAATGGCTCACTTTTGAGATGGAAAAGATGAATTGACAGTGGCTCTAGTTGAGTCTTTCTCTAGTTTCTCTTACTGGAAGATACCTTGGAACCTGAGTATCTTAAAAAAAAAAAAAGATAACATTTTCACAGACATATTAGTGAGACTTGGAATATCACATTATTTTCTGGGCGGTCTTCTAAAAAGTAAAAGCAGTATTGGTGTGTTCTAGTAGCTTTTGGAACCCCAG